AACCCAAGTGAGGAAAGTTAGCACTGGTACAGCCATACATTCAGGCGTTAAATAAAATAAGCACATAGATTGCAAACCCTAGAGGTTCTTCCACTAACATCCAATTAGCAAACGTGTCCCTATAGGGAATATCTGCCTTTCCATGTCTTCCTATGAAGTGATCCATAACATTAGTGAGGGAATCCAAGCCCTTGCTCTCTGTGCCCTGGTGGTCAGAGTTCTGTGTTTTTGACTGGGAACTGGAGGGTTAGTGAGGGATGAGTGTGGGTGTGTGTATGCATGCACATGTTCCTGTTGGGGGAGGATTGGTAACAGGGAGTTCTAATAAAAGATGCATTAAAAAATAGTAACTCTCCCCTCTAAGCACTCAGCAGTATCCCTTTCAGCAGTCCATGAAGATATTTACCCAGGACTCTGTCTCCCTGAATTTGAGGATATAGGACAAATGATGTGGAGGAACTTTAAATTGGCTGCTCTGGTCATGACAAATCTGTCCTGCCAGTGACATGGATTCAGTTTTACTCCAATTGTCTCCACTGTGCAAATATGCATTAGACTTGGGCTCTACTTTATATTTCTCTGTGACTTTTCTAGAGTCCTTTAGTCACAGGCACATTAGGCTTGGTTTTCCCGTGTGGAATAGTGTGCCCATAGGTCCCCTCATCTTTGTCCTGACTAGAGGAACTTTAAACCTAGTTCTTCTACTCATTACCTCCCCTCTGAATCCATGGCCATGACCATTTCTCCCTCCTTGTGGGGCTACTTGCTTGCCTTGCTTGTTTGACTCTCTTCTGTGCATGCCTCATCTCGCGTGTCAGACTGAGTTCCCAGGAGGGAAAGGCTGTGTCCTCACTCTTATTTCTCTCCCAGCATCAGCACAGACCAGGACACTGAGAAGGTGTTCAGTGAATTTAATGCATTGACCAGTTTCTGTTTCTCTTGTCCCAGTGCTTTTATTTCCAGAAAAGTCACTAAGATTTCTCTCCATTAGGGACCTGAAAACACATCTGTCTGTCTTGACATAGTACTCCATTCCAATATACTTCTGTGACCTACCCACCCACCCAGTCATCCCACTTAGAAATTAGGCCTCATCCTTGAGGTCTCCTGATGATTCAGAATAGCCTGGGTTGTGCTGTGATGACAAACCAAAATGGCCTAATCAGAATGATTTAGTTTTCATTTATACTACGTGTCCATCATGGATCAGCAAAGGTTGATATATATTTCATATATCACTCCTAATTATAGCCCATGGGATAGAATTAGTCACAGACCCCACCTAATTTCAAGGAGACTGGTGAATGTAGGAACAAGACAGAAGTTGAGTGACAATATTGTCTGCAATATTTCCCTCTGCCCCCAGCTCCCCACCTCTGATCGATCTTTCATCTCAATGAATATCCACTCTACCTTCCCCATTTCTAGGAAATTATGTCGATTTCTTCCCATCCCCAAAGATAATGCCTTTTTCAAGATACCTTCATTGCCTTCGGTGTTGACCCCAACCCTAAGCTCCTCTGCTCAGAGCAGACATAAGATTCTTAAAACACAAATCTAAAAAGAGACAGACTCTATACATAGAGAGCAAAGTGGTGGTTACCAGAGGGGAGGTATATGGGAGATGGGTGAAATAGGTGGAGGGTATTAACAGTACACTTATCTAAGAGCACTAAGTAATGTATAGAATTGTTGAATCCCTATATTGTACACCTGAAACTAATATAACACTGTATGTTGACTACACTGGAATTAAAATTAAACACACACACAAGTCTAATGATGTCAACCTTCACTTACAACATTTAAATAGAGCCCTTTACCTACAGGATACCCAGTCAGCACAACCCATGGGCCCATCCCACAGTTGCTCTGTCTACCTATTCAGGCTTATCTCCTCACACCACGCAAGGTCAAGACCAGGCTGAAATCCAGCCCAACCCATGTGCTAAGCCTTGATCTCTGGTGATGGCTGTATCTCCTTGGCAGAAAAGTTGTCCCTTTTTCCCTGTGCATCTATTTCTAATTCAGACAGATGTAATGTATGCTGACAAGCTGCATTTGCCCAGAGAGCAGCACATTGTTCTGTCTTACACGAAGGAATTGGCTAACAACATAAACTACTAACAGTTCCCCAAATTCAGCACCCCATTCATTACCTCCAAGCATTGACACAAACTAGCACTCTGCCAGGAATGACCACCCAGCCCACTACACTCCATACTGCAGGCCTCGTGTGATCTTTATCCTTGAGGACCCTTCTGACATGACTTCAGATATTCCCAGTCAGAGGTAATCATTTCCTTGGTTTTAATTTGGATTCCTCCAAAAACAAGTCCCAAGACAATGATTCAGCCCTGGTGGTTTATGTAGATCCCAACAAGTATAAATAAAGAATGGTGAGAGTGAGATAGGTTAAATGAGTAAGTTATTACCATGGACAACTGTGGCTTATTCCCATGGAGAAACCTCTGAGGAGCCATGAAGAATATGATTACCAAATAACATGGAAGCCAGAGTATTTACCCACTGACTCCTGTTCCTCATGGCCTAAGGTGTGTCTTTGAGAGCATTAAATCTCTTGCATATCTTGGATCTCCTGAATGCACTGAGCAAGCTCCATGTTACTGGAAAAAGGCATCAGGCAGAGAGTCAGGCATCCGAGGCGGCTCTTGGCTTGGTCTTCGGGGTTCTCAGCCCCACACTCTGAAGCATTCTTTTCCACCAGAAATGGCTAGAGTAGCTTTCTTGGAGGACTTCCAGCCTCCTTCCTTCTTGCTTCCAGTTTAAAGAGCCCTCTTCTCATTTCGAATTATCTCTATTCATTTCAAGTTAATACATTTCTTTTAAAAATATATGTTTCTTGGGGCACCTGGCTGGCTCAGTCAGTAGAGCAAGCAACTCTTGATCTTGCAGTTGTGAGTTCAAGCCCCACATTGGTCATAGAGCCTACTTTAGAAATAAATAAATGAAAAAAAATTTTTAAATATGTTCCTTATGTGTCAAATGATATTCCACTCTATTGAACAAATGCCATATTCAAATTTCTTTCTATAATAAACCCTTTTCTACCCTGTAACAAGCTGCTATAGGATAAAGCTCATAAAAATCTTAGAAGCTGTCTCCAGCCAAGAACACATAAAAGGAATACCATTAACATCTATGAGACTATAAGACACACTTTAAGTGCTTCTTTTAAAAAAAGAAAAAAAGATTTTATTTCTTTTACAGTTGAGAGAGAGGGCCAACTCACAAGCAGACGGAACAGCAGGAAGAGGGAGAGGGAGAAAGAAGCAGACTCCCCTTCAAGCAGGAAGCCCAACGCAGGACCCTGGGATCATGACCAGAGCTGAAGGCAAAGGCTTAACCAACTCAACCACCCAGGTGCCCCCACCTTTAAGTACTTCTAAGTTCTTAATATCAGATTTTAGAATCACACCCTTGACTGTATTGTTAACCTAAGACAATGTTTTACTGCCCTAAGTTTGTTCCTTTCCCTAAGACCATTTCTTACTTTGAGGTCCTTCTGCAGACTTGGTTAGATCCTCTATATTTCTTCTAAATTCTGCTGAAAAAAATGTAACAATTCCCTCTTTACCTTATCATACACTGCTAAAAGAAGCCAGTTGGCAAATTCAGTATTCTTCCTGGATCTCCTTAACCAAATCTACTATTTCATTAGATATATTTTGTGTTTTCCAATTACTGCAAACAACATTGCCAACTTCTCACCAGTACACACCATGGATTGTTTTTTCTCTATTCCCCAATATCCACTTCCTGCCTGTCCTTCAAACTTTCTCCTTGAGACCCTTTGAGCCTCTGACAGTCCCAAAATCAATGTCACACAAATGATGTGGAATAAGAGCTTGACATTACAGATTAGACATTAAGCAACTGTGGGAGAAACCAGTGAATTACATGTCCAGAAGGGGATAGGAGGATCAGAGAAAATCACTCACAGGGACTGCAAGAATCTGGTGGAAAAGCCAATGGAAGGCTGTATATCTGGGGGTCTGGAGTTGCTGTAGGTCAGCAGGGCCAGCAGGCTGAAAAGCTGGACATGAAATGGGGAGAGACAGGAAAACTTGCAACCCATACAGACAAACCTGAACCCATAAGACAAACTAAACCCACCTGTGTCTTTCATCACCTCTACCTCAAAGATATGTTTCCCTTACCACAAAGATGTGAATATATCTGGTTCAGGAGACTAAAAGACAAGATTCTGCAAGTGCCAGATCTGCAGGCTCAGCTGCTGTCCCACGCCAGCGAGGCAAGCAACAGATCATGACAGCACACACCACCCCAGAGCACACCTGCTGCTGTTCAGTCCTGCCTTCCAAATCCCATGCAAATTTCTCTTGTCCTCAGCCCTAACCCACAACCCACAACCCATAACCATGCCAGGAAGGAAACCGAGAACCACAGATACAGCTCAGCTAAGTCAACAAAGTATAAAAGCACCATAGACACTCTTAGCATATGGGTCCTGTCTTAAAGAAAACACTTGATAAATGTTAAATATTTACTCGTATTCTTACTACCTAGCCCAAAGTTCAACATATAGCAGGTGCTCCAGTGATGTTTGTTCAACAGAAACTTGATTTAAATACCAAATTGATAGCTACTTCTATAAAACATGTCTTTCTTTCAGTAAAGAGATAAAAATCTTCGGCACCAACCTAATATTTTATTAACTTCCCTCTTCGTGGGACAGTTTATTGTTTAAAACTAAAGCCATCTGCATACTACTTACTCCCCCAAACAGCAGCATTAAAATTCATTAAAACTTAGCAGTAAGAAGGATGACCTCATGGTGTTATCATTTTCAATGGGGCCTGAATGAGAGGGCAGGATCCATGCTTGAACACTTTCTCTTCATTAACACTTCTGTTCCTGCATTCAGCTCTGAGCCCCACCTCTCTGGCCCTACTCAGACAAGGGGAACAGAGTGATGAGGTGATAATGAGGAGAAAATGTCCCACCCTGTTCTGGGCCTGGCTAGTTCAAAGCAGGACCACAGGGACAAGACTGTACCTGGCTGTTTTAAGAGCTTTCTTCATTTGGGAAGCAGCATGATGAAAATTCATCATCATAATGGAGAGGAGGCTGCGGCAGCAATGAAGGTAGGTAAGAGTGTAGATAACAATGTGCTCAAGTAGGCTCACTGGATAAACTCAGATTCTTGCTAAGATAGGTCCTTTAGAAATCCTAGCATTCTCTCTGCTGCTCAACAACACTGAGTACATGACTGTATC